GAGGAACAAGAGGATGAGACTGGCACCTCCCTGAGGAATTCACACTGTTGTGGCTGGAGGACTTTGGGAACTGGGGTTTGAGTCTGGGAAGATTGTCAGGCCTAGCCCAAGGAACTCCAAGAGACAATGCCAATTCAGTCCAGCTATGTTTATAAGCTACAACCTCTAGCAAGAATCTTCCCAGACTCAAACCCCAATTCCCAAAGTCCTCCAGCCACAACAGTGTGAATTCCTCAGGGAGATGCCAGTCTCATCCTCTTGTTCCTCCCACACGGTTCTGGTCAGCTAAGAAAAGGTTTATTTCCCTGAGCTTGGCCTTCATAATTCCATTCCATCACACATAGCACCTTTCAGGTGCAGAGGGAGCTTGGTTAATAAATATATGAAGCAGGCAGATTATGCAGATAGTAGCAGGAACTAGATAGCCTTGAAGAAAACTTCTGAAATAACCTTATGAGTTGGCAAACCACCTTAGGCATAAACTAATCCTTATTTACAGGTAAATTATGTCTATACAGAATACAGCTACTATGAATCTTCTAGAAGAACAATTTGCAGATGCCATGATATAGTCTTGTTGGATATTCATAATTAATTATATGAATATTGGTTAAATATGCATACTGGAAAATCTAAAAAAACTGTATGTATATATGTATTCTGCTCTTATTTCTATCCTAGCGGCTATTCCCCACTAGGGAGAAGTTCCCAATGTTCATTGTTCTTTTTAAAATAAAGGTACACCTTAATTCTTTCCAGCCTTTGGTTGTTTCATCTGAGAAATTCCCCAACATAGGGACATTTCAAACCAAACCAGGTTTGCTCAAGATGCTGAGTTTGCTCAAACGTTTGCTGACCAGAATATCACGGGAGCCATTTGTTTGCTATAAAAATTGTGCGTCAAGGTGACCCAAATCTTTTGCCTCTGCTCATTACCAACATTTATACAGTGTAATTGTAAACTAAACTTAAGCAGCATTACTCCTACATAATCAGATCAAGTTAGTACATTTCTAATTTGGGGCTAGAGTACACTACTGAAAAATAGCATTGAAAAAGCAATGGTTTCCTTTAATTGTATTTATATTTTGCTATAAATACACTGAAAATTTATAAAGGATTTGTCAAAACAATCATATTCAGTTCTGATAAATGATCCGGTAAATTTATGGCAGAATTCTTGAGCTACCTGGCATACAGACAATTCCAGTTACACTCATAAGATTGCTACCAGTGGTATGAGTAAACCCTCATATACATCTATCTTCAAAGCAGATTTGATCTTTTTTCATAAAGGAAATGTATACTGGCCTTATACATGACTTTATAGTTTTGTGAGGAACAAGAGAAATAAACCTGTTCAAGAATCAATTTCAGGCCCTCACTTAGTCTTCTCCAGCTCCATGGCTAAGTAAGGAACTAAACGTGGCTTTCCTGTTCTCAGCCATGTGCTACAGCTTCTACAAAAATTCTAAAACTTACGGCTCATGTATTAACCAAGAGCATCAGGAATACCCATAACTAAGATTCTGTTGCAGTGACAAATGAAGGGTTCCACTGGAACTAGCATGTTAAAAAGCAGGCCCATAGGGAACTACTTAAAGTTCTCTCCAATTTCTAATTTCTAGGAAGGATGACAGAGAACAATTATCTTCTGATCTGGAACTCCAATCACTGTGGACCTTTTTCTATCACTTACTTAACTATAAGATAAATTACTCTGAACATATTTCAAGGTGTTTTAGACCATTTGCACATATTGCTTAGATTCACAAGTCATACTTAATTATGGCTTGTTTTAAGCATGGTTTATTGAATAAATTACAGCAGATAGAAGCACTTAGCCAACCTTGGTTGATATTGAATCTTAAAAATTTACAGCTCATTGCATGTGGATTATGGCTACACAAAGGGTTGCTTTGGAGATGCAGTTTGAAGGCAATTCAATCAAACCTCTGAACTAAATTAAATCCAACTTTCCAAATTGAATCGATTCCAATTGAATCATTTAACTGAATCAATGTTCTCCAAATTGATCCAACTATCTGATGGTCTTCTGCACACGTATAAAAAGTTTCCCCCCCCCCAACTGAATCATTTTTCCAAGTGAGATTGATTCAGTGATGATCTGATTCAGAGATCAAATTGTTCTGAAAATCTGAATCACACAATTTGAATTGGATTGACTAGAACCACAGACCCTTATAAATTTTAGAGTGAAACACGAATGTATGTGCCTTCTGTGTTTTTTAATTGTCTTCCTTTTCAGAAACAAGTGTCTGAATAAATAATAATGGATCCCAATGTAGAGATCCAAAGCTAGTATAGAGCTCAGCAGTAACCACTATCCAACATAGCTTAACTTTGAAGGTTTTCCAGAGAATTGTGATGTCATTTTGTGTATATCCAATATATTTGCTATGCTGAAATCCAATCTTACAGTGCTGTGGGTTAGGGTAAGAGGAGCAAGAAATATGAGGAAGTCCAGAGTCCATTTCCAGAGACATCAGTATTTCTAATACCAACAGACCGGTCATGTACTTAACAGTAAGTTATATCTATGCAGTCCTATTACAGTGACTCACAAGAACTCATTTCTTCAATAAACGTTGCCTTAACACTTCATTTTGTGATCTGGATTATCCGTATCATCTTATACAAGATTATTTTTGACAATATCACTTCTGATGGAATAATAATCATTTATATTCTGGCTTCAGTTGTCAGGAATATTAAAGAAAAAAATTGTAAAATTAGTTTTTGGAGCTTAAAGACTTGCTTTTTTCTTTAGCACTTGTCCATGCTGCTCACACTGTTTCTGTCCAGCTGGGAAGAACACAGCTGTTAAGCCTCAAAGTAGGGCAACCCCTTTCTATAATCTGCATGTTTTTTGGGACCCTGGCAAGTTTTCGAGACTCAAATGAGATGCATTTAGCTTTACAGAAATACAGGACTTGTACAAAAGCTGTAGCTCTGTCCAGAGTTTCATGACTTAGTACTTTAATTGCAGTTTTACATTATGTTTATTCTCGAGACAGATTTAGGATAAATGCTTCATGTCTTGAGCAATTCTTTTGATTCTTCTCTATCACTCGAATCTTCAACCAATCCTTTAAGTCGAGATAAATGATGCAAAGCTCTATATAAAAAAAAGAGAGAGAGAGAGAGGGCTCTTTTGCTTACAATATAAGTATACAAAAATATAAAGTTGATTGACAGACTAACCCCACAATGGTTGTATTTCACACAATTTGCCAAGCTAGGACTTTTAATTCATAGTTTATTGAACAATCTGTAATATCCTGGTTCACACAATAAGGGGGTGTATTACACATTAGGCTGATCCCAGAACAAAACATTGTTACTTACTATTATATGTAAACCAGAATACTGAATTCCAAGGACTCAACTCCTAACATGCAAAGACAATGCTACTATATGTTCCTCTTAATGCAGATTATGTATCTCTAAATGCATCAATTAATGTGCCTTTGGGGCATTTCTGTTTAGGCTGAACGATGGTTGCTCTTATTTAGATGCATCATGAAAGAAAAGAGCATAGTTGCATTTTTCATCTCTCTCTCCACATGCACATTTTAAGAGTATGATAGACGACAGCAAAGTAACATATCCATAGGTTACAACAGGAAGTGATCCAGTGATTATTTTTCAGAAAGCATCAAAGAATTGGCCCCAATGTGTGTTTTAGTTTAGCAACATGCTTCCAATCACAGGCAACTGGGTAACTATCGGAAAATTTTAAGTGCCTCAGTGGAGGTCTAAGAAATCCCAATGGAACAAAATAAGATTTACAAACAGAATAAATTCACAACTTCTTCTTCATCCAATCCAGGTTTAAAAATAACATAATAAATAACTAAACATCAATTTGTAATGTAATTTAGGAAATCTGAGTGATTGTTTAAAAAAAAAAAGCCACCATTTCGAAAGGACCCATTACAAAGTAACTGTAAGCCAGTACTGGGCACCAACCTTTTTGGACATAAGATTTCATGCCATAATTCCTCTTACCACAGGGTGCTCAATAAGAAGACTGAATTCTCATGAGACTTGGTGATCTTGTAAGATATCTCTCACTTTTAACTGATTTGTGAGACTTCTATCATTTTTGATGTTTTAAAATTAATTTATATTGTGGTTTGAGAACTTGTGGGTGCCATTCTGGGGAAGGGGCATGTATGTCATGGTAGTCACAGAGATTGCCTTGTGGGTCCCTGAGCCTAAGCATCTCCAGTGAAAATGCCATCTTGAAGGGGCAGCATTCACATGATTTCTCTTGTATGTGAAAAGAGTTGAAGAGGAAAGAAAATCAAATCATGCAAATGAGGTCACCTTAGGGTAGGCTACTGGCATGGATCCTCATGCTCCTAGGTTGTGGCAAAGGGGCTTCTCTGGGAGGAGTGCTTCAAAGCAGCAACCACAGCCAAGCCACACTCAATTACTTCAGTGTAGCTCGACTGGGAATCTCAGCCTCTGAACGTCAGTATACTCACCTCTGAAGAGATCTGGCAACAGGGATCATCTCATAATCAATCAACTTGAAATCCTCATCTTCACGCAACACCTAAAAAGGAAGGAAACTTTCCTCAACAGCAGAGTCTTTTTATTATTTCTCCTCTGGGGAAAATCCAAGGTGAAATTTAAAAGGCCATTTCACTTTCCAATGTATTAACAAATAAGAATGACTTCACTGTACAGTATTAGCATATTACAGCTTGCTCTAATTTAAATTTTTGGACTCAGTATATTTCTATGAAATGTATTTACCTCCTTTCAGATTTCTGAAATTTGTATATATTTGGACGTTATCAAAGGTTTGTTTGAATCCTGCTGAAGACACAAGGAGATCTGAATGAACAAGTAACAGTAAAGCATGGTGCTTGTTTCAATTATTTCATAAACAAGGCTGTCCAACAAGCAATATGCCTGTGTGAAAAACTAATCATCCCCTTAGATTTAGTCTCTGGTTACACAACCTTTTAGCTGTAATAACTGCATGCAAATACTTCCAGTAATTGGTAATCAGTCTTTCAATCACTCTGCCTGGCAAATTGCTTCAGCTCAGTAACATCTGAGGGTTTCAGAACTGCTCATTTAAAATCCTGCCACAATGCTTCTCTGAGGTTTATGCCTTGGACCCTGACTTAGCCATTGCAAAACATGGGCCCTGTCTTCTCTTGGGGACTTGTTTCTGTGTTTGGGAACACTCTTTGCATGAGGCACATGTGCTTCAAGGTCAGTGGTGAGCCAGATGGCTCGGCAATCTCCTTTACCATTGCCCGATACACTGAAATCCTGCTTCCTTCAATGATGGCAAGTTGTCCAGGTCCTAAGGAGGAAAACACCCCCAAAGCGTGTTTTCTGCCCTGCTTGGCAGCTGATATGAGACTCTTATTGGGGAATGTAGGGTTTGGTTTCCTCCTGGCATAACTCCCACATTGTGATGGAATGGACTTATGAAGGCCAAGCTCAGGGAGACAAACATTTTCTTA